CACCCCCCTTGGATCCCCCACCGAGTACCCTCTCAGGATCCCTTCCCCACTGGTACCCACCCAACACTCTCCCCCACATCATCCCCTCTCTGTACCCCCCCACACCTTATATTCCACCCAGCACAGCTGGGATGAATGAGTCTAATACTTATTGAGCTTCTGTCACAAGTCAATAATGTAAGTGCCATGAGAGAATCAAAGCCATGGTGCCTGCTTTCAAGATACTTAAAATCTAATACAAGATGGAAGCAAGAACAGGGATACTTTTCAAATGGGGAGTCAAGTGTGCATTGAGGAGAGTGTTCTGTACTTGATGCTTGGAGCAGGCACCAGCTTTCTGACGTTCTGACTCCCAACCCTAGGCAGTTACTCAGAACCATGCTGAGTCTGAGAACACCTCTGTCCCCCCCTCCTACCCACAGTTTATCACCCTCATGGTGGGCTTCGGCATCCTCGCCTTCTCTCTCGTCATCACCTACTGCATCAATGCCAAAGCTGATGTCCTGTTCATTACGCCCCGGGAGCCAGGAGCCGTGTCCTACTGAGGGGCACCCAGCTTGTCCTGCCTTCCCAGATCATTTCTTTCACAACGGTCTGTCAGTCACTGGAACCTCTCTAAGCCTGTCTCAGGCTAGGAGTAACATAAAGGAGTAGAACTGTCCAAAAAGACAGGAGAGGTGAATCTGTCGCCTCCACCCCTCAACCCCCCAGCTCCCCCGTCCTCTTCCTTCCCTGCCCTTGGCAGATTGCAGGATTACAGACAGAAGTTTCTGGCTCCTGTGTACTGCTAGTTCTCCACCCTAGCTTCCCTTCTACGGGAGCCCTCTTTCCATCCTGTCCTGTATCCCCCCCCATCCCCACCCCCGTCTCCAACCACCTCCTGACCAGGAGAAAGGACATAAAGGGTTGAATGTCAGGGTCCAGCTGCACTGAACCCCTGGGGAGACTAGGGCAGCTCTGGGCTGAGCCTGCCTCCTTCCCACCGTCCTTTCCTGGGTCTCAGATGCGCATCAGGGTGGGTGTGCTGCCAGGTGGGTATCCCACCTCCAGCCCACTGTGCTCATGTGTACTTTTTATTAAGCTGTAATAATCTATTTTTTTCTTTTTGTATATATATAAATAGTAAGTTTCATTAAAATAGATGACCCCACATGACTTGTGCTGCTACCTTTATTCTTCCCAGGTCATCCTGCTCAGCCACCTGGGCTAGAAGTCGTAAAATTGTTACCTTGAATGAAACTGTTGCCTTGTGTGCTATCTTGGTCTCCAGAGGACCCAAGAAGTAAGGCTCTGTCAAACAATTGAAGTACCGGGAGCCCCCTCCTGCTTATAAGAACAATGTTACATGTTTTCTTTCCACTTTGTAATGGACAGACAGTTCTTTAATCACTGTGAGACAGTGGCTAGGCTGCAGGGCTGAGGAGGAAAATGCAGTGCTTACCCTTGGGTAGCTCACAGCTGGGGTGAGAGGAAAGACACACATGCCCACAACTAGGTGTGAGCCAATGTAATAGAATAATTGCAGAATATTTCCAGTGCTCAATAGTGCATAGAGGAATCCAGGGCCAGGAGTGAGGCCAGGAGTGACCACAGAGTCAGGATTTGAGGTGTGCACCAGGTGGAAACATAACCAAGAAAAGGCATATGTCATGTTAGGGACACGGTAAGGATGGGCAAGATCCTGAACCTTCTTGAATGGCACACTAAGGATGTGGGCTTTCTGTTGACAGTGGACTTTTTGTAGGCCAAAGAAGAGTTGAGTTTGGGCTGTTTTAGAGAGCCTCAGCTCTGTGGAGACACTCAAGTTCCCTGGGCCTTCCTGGAGGTAAATCCTGGAGTAGAACAGAATTGCCAAGTGATTGCGGGCAGAGACTGAGTCAGCTGAGGGGGAGAGAACCAGCGGGTGGAGGCCTAAACCCAACCTTCTCTCTGCTGCAGGCCAGGAGGCTGTCTCTACGCATACCAGCGGCTGTGGAGAGGGGCTAGCCTTGTTTACAGGGTCCCAAACTCTCCTCTTAGCTTCCTGATTGGGTTCACCCTTTTGGATCCTAGTGAGAAGAGATGATTTTTTCCTCCAGGTTTCTCGCCAAGTTCCCTCTGGGACAGGGCATGTTTGGGGTTCTGAGATAGGAAATACACCCCGCTGCTCCCTCACCCTCCTAGTTTGAGCTGGAGAGTCTGTGCTGTGCTGGCGGGAGGCGAGCACAGCTGCCACCATCTACTGGGCTGGCTCCACACCTCCCTCGGCCAACAGGTCTCCCAGCGGACAGAGCAGTAAACTCCCTCATCCTGCTGGCAGCTTCGGGAAGCAGCGAAGTGGCTGGGTACCAATGAGTGGGCTGAGCAGAACAGCTGGGCAGAATCAAGGGATCTGGGGTAGGAAAGAAAGAAGGGCACAAGATGTAGGACCTTCACTGTTCCTAGCCCTGCCTAGGGAAGCACTTTGAGCCCAAGCTCATTTTCTGCCTTCCGGGATTCTTTACTTCACCCCCTACCAAAAACAACAAAAAACAGAAACATTTGGCTCTTCGCATAGCTTTTGGAGAGGCCACTTTCCATGGAAGGAGCGCGGTCACTCAGATGACCCACTGGGACTCCCAAACACCCCACCCCTCTTCTAAGACTTGGTTTCAGCTCTTTGCCAGGTATTTTCTATACCCAGAATACCATGTGTGACTGGCCAGCAGCATCCTGTGGGACATGTGCTTCTTAGTTCCCGAGCCTCCGCCACCCCCTTAGTCTGGGCCTTGCTTGCCCTTGTGCCCTCTGAAATCTACCATCTTCCAGCTCCTTTCCTTTCCCTGAGGGCTTCTCTCCCTTCGCCTCCTGCCTGTTGCTAGCTCACACAGGACCTTCTCCTCCTCCCAGCCTTACAGACAGTTGAGTCACTGACATCCCTGCCCTAGGAGCCAGCCTGTCTCTCCCTGTTGTGATGCTTTGTCCCTCAAGACCAACACAGAAGGTTTTCTTACTAGTGAATGTCTCTTGCCTGGCTTATCTGAGTAAAGGTTTTACTATTTTTTCTTTCCCACATCTGGGTCACTGCTCCCAAAGGCACATTCTGGGATGAGATTTTTTTTTTTTTTTTTTAATCAGAGTGTGGTGTTCTCTACTGAGATCCCTATTATTCAGTGGGACTTTGCTTTATCAAGGGACCTTAGAAGTCATGTATATGGTTTAATTCATTTGATAGATGAGAGAAACAGCCCAGAGGAGTGATATGGCTTTCCCAAGGTCACACAGCAAATTAGAGACAGAGCTGAGACTAAAGCATCCTTTATGTCTGCACTGGCAGCCACAGCAGTAATAAGCATTTGTTGAGCATGGTTGTGGGCAGAGCACTCTGTCACAGCATCATTGAAGGCTAAGGATGTGGTACCTTCCCTTGAAGACTTGGGATCTCCAGACCGTAGATGGCAGGACCAAACATGCCAAGATAACCAGGTGAGGCAGCATATTTCTCACACCATAAACAGGTCCCACACTAAGGATGGAGGGCTTGCACTGGGTAGGTGGACCAGGACCGAGAAGCTTCATGTTGTGGGAAGAGCCCAGGACCAGATTGGTCTGCCATCAATGCTCGGAGTGGCCTTGCAAAGGGCATTCCCCCTCTTTGTAAAATGCAGAGTTAGACCAGGGGCTGATCTCTGAGCCCCCGCCTGTCAGTGTGGTTCTGTGGAAGCAGAACTGGTATTGAAGCCTCCTCTCCCTTCCCCTTTCATCTTAGACTCCTGGGGCAGTTGTGATTTGAAAGGCTGATCAATTCCTGAACTCTCGGTGGTAGCACTAGGGTCAATTCTAGGGAGGAAGGCCCAGGGGGCGCTGTTGCCCTCTAACCCAGGGACGGCGAGGACTTGGGAAAATGGTGATATAACCTGATAGAAAAGAGACCCTGTCACACAGCATCCTTGCCTCAAAAGAAGCTTGGCAGGAGTGGGAGTTGAGCTGTGGAAGCAGAGACCCTTGGAAGGCTGGGTCCAGAGGGGCTTCGGGTTGGGTTTTCATTCCTGAGTTCAAACTCATAAGCTAGGGGAGCTCACACACTTCTGTCATGGTGAAGGGCAGCTGTGGCCCCTGTCCCCAGCCAGGGAAACCACGGAGCAGAAATGGAGGGGTCATCTCAGGAGGCCTAGGGAGAAGCCATTAGCCTGAGATGATGCAATTGTGAGTAAGTGTTGCAGCCTCAGGCTCAGGCTGCTTGGTTGCTCTGGGGTTGGGGGCTAGACCCTGGAGTCCCACTCTCTCCCCCAGCTCACAACTGAGGAGTAGTTAGACTGGGAGAATGAAAAAACGGAGAGAAGGGAGGGCATCCAGAAAAAAGCAAGCTAGTGAAAGGAAACTAAGGAACCAGGCTTCAGGACAGAGGAGGAGAGGGCGGCCAGAGCTGTGTGGAGGGAACGGAGCCTGAGGGCAGAAAGGCCAGGCGGGCGTGGCCAGGAGGGGAGTAGGCCCAGAGCTGGTGGTGACAGATGGGTGGACACAAAGAAGAGAGCTTCAGGGAAGACAGATGGATGGGGGAGGGAGGAGAAGAGGCTGGGGGGGCGACACAGTGGTGGGAGCCGTAATGAGATTGGAGAGTGGCTCAGAGCTGAGGAGAGGTGAGTAGGGAGGAAAGAAGAAAGGGGAGGCCGTCTTGGGAGACAAAGGCAATGCGGCCTAGGGGCAGGGGCAAGAGGGCTGGGGCTGGGCGCTGGGAAGGGGGGCTTCCAGCCAGGCTGGCAGCAGAGAGAGTGACAGATTGTATAGTGAGCTGGAGTGGAGACCCGCTGTCACCTTCCAGAGGCACAAGAGAGGTGGAGACAGAGAAAGACAGACCGACAGAGACCATGTGGAAACAGACAAGGAGAGCCTCTCTAAGATGGAAGAAGATCCTAGGTGGTCTGCCCCTTCCCAGAAACACAGTAGCTCCTGCCCAGGCCCCTTCTGCCTGTCTTACTCCTGTGACCCAAAACACTGCCACTCTCACAAAATAACCCCCAGTCATGGACCACTCTCGAGGAAGGGTCAGGCAGTATGGCACAGCAAGGGTTAACACCGTCTGCTCTCCCTGCCAGCCGCTTGCCTGGTTGGGTCCCCAGGGCTCCCCACATATGTCACCCCCTCTCCTGCCAAACCCACTGCTTCCCAGCTCCTCCAGGCCCTCCCCCCACCCTCAAGGACAAGACCCAGGCCCCTGTGTCTTCCTTACACACCCCTAACCCTCCCCCAGCAATGTACCTCACAGGCTGTCCAGGGACAGAAAGAGACTTGTGAATCAGTCTGAAGAAGTGAATGCCTATCAAGTGTAAAATAACAGAGAACAATCATTCCATTGTACAGAATAAGGCGTTGCCCAAGTCTAGCATTAGAAAAGCCAATAAAGGTTTTTAAATTAAAAGAAAATAATAATAAATAACAACAATACACGGTGACACCATAATCATCATCCTGGTCTCCAGGCCCCGCACCTCCTGCTTTCCTTACAGCAAAGGCTCCCACACAACTCCCAGGGTTCTCCTTTCCCCTAGAGCTGGGGGCTGCAGACAGCCTGAACTGACCTCCGAGCTCTCCCCTGCCTCCCTCGATCATAGTGTGTGTTTGAACCTTCTGGCCACCTTCGTGTGCGGTTTTGTCTTTTTGAGACAGGGTCTCACTCTGTCACCCAGGCTGGAGTGCAGTATCATGATCATAGCTCACTGTTACCTCAAACTCCTGGGCTCAGGGGGTCCTCCCACCTCAGCCTCCCAAGTAGCTGAGACTACAGACATGCGCCACCATGCTCAGTCAATTTTTAAATTTTGTGTAGAGATGGAGTCTTGTTATGGTCCTCAGGCTTGTCTGGAACTCCTGATCTCAAGCAATCCTTACACCTCAATCTCCCAAAATTCTAGGATTACTAGGATTAGTTTTGGGGTGTGTGTGTGTGTGTATATATATATATATATATATATATATATATATTTTTTTTTTTTTTTTTTTTTTGGTAGAGATGGGGTCTTTCTATGTTACCTAGGCTGGTCTTGACCGAGTGGACTATAGCAACCCTCCTGCCTCTGCCTCCCAAAGTGCTGGGATTCCAGGTGTGATCCACTGTGCTTGGCCTCTTGCCACCTTTAGATCACTGTTCAGGGGGCTGGAATGAGCACGGTACAGCTTACCCAGCACTCCCTCATGCA